GTGCACAGGGACAAAAATAAATAAATAGCCTAAATGAAACGCACTGTACTGTACAATTTTTTAATTATAATTGTAGCCTAATAGAAAACGCATTTTGACACATCATTTCAACATTCAGACGAGAGCGCCTGGCCTCAATGCGCCCTGCTGCACTGAAGGAGCACTCGCTCGCAGCACTTGTTGCTGGAATGCATAGAATTCTCTTGGCAAGGTGATGTAGACGTGGGAATGACTGCCTTGTTTCTCCCAAAAGGAAAGTAGATTTTCCTCTGCTTATCCGTCTATATGGAAGTTTGTAGATGAAGACTTCTGTACTTCATCCAGAATTAGTGTATCCGATTCCTCCTCTCATTCTGTGAAGTCAGTCTTAGGCTTTTTCGTTGGTGCGCCAGCTTTGTCTACAAAAAACAGTACAACCGCCCACCACCCGCCCGAATTTAATTAAAATATTATTTTTCGTCATGTCATCCGCCCGATCCGCGGTTTATCCGCGGATTCCGCGGCTGTAACCGCCATCCGCGCATCTCTAGTGTACACATCCATATAACAGTGGTACAAACACATTAAGTATTTTTAGTCATTACATTTCCTAAATTAAACCAGGATCCAATTCCCTAGTGATTATGAGGCTAATTGCATTGTGACATAGCAGTGCAGTTTTCCTCGCCCTCTGATATAGATTGACAGGTGTGTATTATCATGTCTCAGTATTAGCACATAGTATTATGTTTACAGGGCAGCTGTCACCGACTCGGTCCCAGTCATTCCCCTCGCTGGCCAGCAGAGGCCATCATCACCGGACTTTTAAGCATTACGTCATCCACTTAAACTGATAAGCACACACACCTGGTACTCATCCCGCTAACGACCCACGCTCACAGATATAAGCCGCACACACACTCCAGTCCATTGTGAAGTCTTGTTCTGCCCTGTCTGACATTTCTGAGCGTTATCTCCTGGCCTGATTCCCCGCGTATTACCTGGACTGTTACTGAACTTGTGTTGTCTTCTGCCTGCCCTGAACCTTGCTAATTATCTTGACTCTGAACCACGCCGCCTGCCCTGAACCTTGCCTCGCAAAATAAGAGCCCCTTAAAATTCTTTTCAAGCACCAACTCCAGTGTAATTCCATAATAAGTAAATGGGGAGTAGAATGGTTTGAAAAGAAAGCAGAGGATGGCAGCCTTTGGCAGAGTTAAAGCTAAAGTCATTTGGACGTAGACCAGCTGGCAGACCTGTTGGGCCTTTCCAGTGTTTTCTTAATTTCAGTTTACCTTCTTGCAAAAGAGATGCAAAACAGTAGGTGTTTAGAACTAAAGTGATCAGAATGTATGCTCGGACTTAATAAGGACTGTTACAGCATTATGTAGTCATGCATCAGGATAGTAATACAGTTGCAGTGTAATCCTTTGAGAGTCTAGAACACAGGTGTCAAACTCAGTTCCAAAAGGGCCGCAGCCCTGCACAGTTTAGTTCCAACTCTAATTAAACACACCTGATCAAACTAATTGAGTCCTTCAGGCTTGTTTGAAACCTACAGGTAATTGTGTTGGAGCAGGGTTGGAACTAAACTGCAGGGCTTCGGCCCTTCAGGAATTGAGTTTGACACCCCTGGTCTAGAACAAAAGAAACCCATGGAAAAGATGCTGTTGTTTTTCTATTTTCTATTTTAATTAATGAAATGCTTGGGGCGACACGTTGGATTAGAGGTTAGCACTGTCGAAGGTCGCTGGATTGAGTCCGGGCTGGGCCGATTGGCATTTCTGTGTGGAGTTTGCATGTTCTTCCCATGTTGGCTAGGATTACTTCCGGGTGCTCTGGTTTCCCCCACAGTCCAAAGACATGCAATATAGGTGAATTAGGTAAACAAGCTTGGCCTTAGTGTATGAGTGAACGTGATAGTGGATGGGTGTTTCCCAGTACTGGGTTGCAGCTGAAAGGGAATCTGCTGCATAAAACGTGCTGGAATAGTTGGCGATTTATTCCGTATGGCGAACTCTGAAAAAGAGACTAAGCCGAAGAAAAATTAATTGTTATTGTTATTATATGTGTTATTGTTTTCTTATATTTCCAAGAATTATAAAATCAGCTGTCACATATGTTCTAGAGAGACTCCAGACTTAAAAACTTGCATAGACATTTTCAATATACAGATCCCAATATACGAATATACAAATCTTCTGACTTCTATTTTGGGGGTAATGTTGGAAGAAATGGATCTAACCACTAATCAACCACAAATTGTTTCCTTTTCCTCATTATTGGCAAGATGCCTGATTCTTCTTAGCTGGAAAAAGGCCAAACCAAGTCTCACAAACACTAAACAATGTCATATCTTAAAACTGAAGTGTATAATCTGAGGCTTTCCTCTAATGTTTAATACAGTCTACCAACCCTTTCTATCTCACAGCGGATTCTCATTGGTTAATGTATCATGACTGAATTTAAAGTCATAATGAAAAAGAAGATGAGAACCAGATAGTAAAAACAAACACAGATCAGAAATATGCCATGTTAATCATTTAAGTGTCATAATAAAATATTCACAAAGGGAATGAAGAATTTTAGGATCTCTCAAAGCGGGAGAGACTGTCCCACAGGGTGCAGAAGATTTGGGTAATTGTGCTTCTCGTTTTTGCTTTTTTTTATGCAAACTGGAGAAAAGACAATTTGCAATTATCTTAAAGAGGAGCGAGCTGAATGATGCTGATGGCAATCCAGGATTCAATCACTTTCACACTGCGTTCTGCACAATTAAACTGCAATACAGATAATAGCTTGCCATTCCGCTCATAATCAGCCTTATTACTTAGTAACGCAAGCATTATCATCAGTCCTATTAAAATTGTCCAGCTTCTTTGTGAAAATGATCAATTTTCCATTGGACAGAGGAGCAGACCACAAACCATCACATCTCTGGGTTTTTCATTAATTCGTGGCCTGGCAGGTAATGTGTTATTTATGGACAAATTCTGGGTGGTCATGACAATCATCTACAAGTCCTATCCCCAGACGGAACACCCACGAACCATCTGATGAATATTTACCATTTCTGATTTCATGAAATCTAAATGTGGTTGTCATTTTCTGAAGTAAGGTTGATGCACAGGTTTGACAGGTTTTATCTAGTTAATAGAGATGTTATATAATTTATATAGTGCTTTTCTGGACACTCAAATCGCTTTACACTTTGGGGGGACTCTCCTAATTGACCACCAGTGTGCAGCATTAACCTGGATGATGTGGCGGCAGACATATTGCGACCAGCTGATTGGTGGAGAGGAGACATAGAGATCATGGCAATTATCATATGGGGATCGTTAGGAGGCTATGATGGACAGAGGCCAATGGGCATCCTGGGATTTTTAACGACCAGGACCACGGTTTAATGTCTTATCCGAAAGAAGGCGCTCACTGAACAGTATAGAGACCCCTTCACTATACTGGGGCGTTAGGACACACACAGACCGCAAGTTGAGAGCCGCTTGCTGGCCTCACTAACACCACTTCTGGCAGCAACCATGTGGTCTCCCATCCAGGTACTGATCGGGTGCAGCCCTGCTTTGCTTTAGTGGAGTTGGAGAGTTGCAGAAAGCAAGCTGCCGGCGCAGAGAGCTAGCTATTGTTTATCAGGCGTCTGTATTAAAACAAACAGGAGGTTTGTAAGGGCATTGAGCTCAGAATTTTGGCCTGTTTCTTTCTACATATATGGATTGATTACTAAATGTGATCTGCCTTGTTCTTCGTCCAGGGCCTAATTTGTGCTGGAACACGCCAGATCTGGAACCTCTGAATACTGATCTGGCACCTCTCGATTCCCCTCCTCAACTCCCCCATCTGCTTTTCACTTTTTTCCGCGACTCCCCAACCCTCTTCACTTTCATCCGCAACAACCCCTGCTCTTCACTTCAACATCATCCTGACCGTCCCCTAATCCCCCCTCAACCCCAACCCACCTCTGCTCTCCACTTTCGCACGCGACACCTCTCCATCCTTGGGTAACATGCCGCATCTGTTACCCCGATCTGTTCTGGGACATCGAAATTTACAAATTAGCCACTGCCTTCCTCCCAAACTTTGTTCATAAAACTGTACATTTTAGATCGTCAGAGTTCATTGCATTATTTGCATGTCTCTAAATCTCTAAATTTAAATGTGGCTGGTTACTTCACTAAATCAAACCGCCTCTATCTTCTTTAGTTAGTGTTTCTTGGGCAGAAGTTTCAAAAGCAGGCATTTCTTTCCCAATGCTCAATAAAACAAGTTGTCTCCACACACCTACTTCTAGTGTGAACGTCAAGTGGAACAGGGATGTCTTCCATCATACCAGAAGGAGGGTAGAAAAGAGTGAAAATAGACTTGGGTATAGTGATAACTGGCATGGGGATAGTGTGGTGCTCAGAGAGGCTGGGTTTTTTGCGGATTACACAAACAGCACACGGATGAACTCCTAATGGTTTATGACTGTTTGGCACATTTGGACATGGCCTGGAGGGGATTTATGTGTGAATAAGTGCCGAGTGGCAGTGGGCATGTCTGGGCATCTCCTACTCTTGCTGTCTCTCTCTATATTCATCTCTCTGTGGAGCTGTTTTAGTCTGTCATATGAAGGGATCAGGAGCCGGTGTTGGATGAGACTGGCTCTTGGTTTGGCAGGCTGGGGGCCGGGTGTGGCTCAGGCCAAGCTAGTATAAGGCGTGGTGGGAAAAGCCACACTGGCTGTGACGCAGCTGACCATTTAGCTTGTACTTCCTCAGCTGTTTTGTGTGAGCACATAAATTCTTGTTGATGAACTTCGCAGACCACAAGATTCTTTGGCTGAACTTTCGTCCTCTTTCTGCACTGTCGAAAAACCACTGGGGCGGCACAACTCACAGAAACGAAAAAAAAAAAAGACAGAACTCCTTCCTTCTGATGAGAAAGTCCAAACACACAAACACGTGATGGACACATAACTAGACAGACAGATGAGCAAGTGAGTGTACTGAGGCATGTCTTACCTTCATGTGAATGGGGGAACCAGATCTGAGAGGCGCTGGAATGAGGACCCCCACGATAAGGAGGAGAGGAGGGAGAGGACGGAGGTCTGGAAGAGTGTGGTGGATGTGAGGGAGGAGAGCCTAGACTGCTTGCCAGGAACGTCCCCATGAAGGAGGCTGAGGAATTGCCCATCAGACCACTGCCTGTGTAGAGAAGGGAAGGTTGTAGAGCAATTAGGGGTGTTGACTAGCAGCTGAGCACTGGGTTGTGGCACGATAGTGGCATACCTGAGCATACGGTTTCAAATACCTTTGCTCTAATTGGCTGATTTACTACCTCAATAACTTTATTTGTCTACACACTCTTGGCCATTTTTAGAGCTTAGAATTAGGAATAAAGTTGTCCAGTTTTTCCCAACCCTGTTCCTAGAGGTGCACTGTCACTGTACTCCCTAATGTTTCCTAATCAAATTAATTTGGATATGGATATGGATGGGTATGATATGGATGGGTAGGATAAGGGAGACACATGTTGGTGTGCCTTAAGGAACGAGGTTGGGAAATACTGGTCCACTTTGTAATGTATCCTGGCTAGGAAACACCGGATGACAGAAAAGGTCCATCACATGATCCCTTTTTAGTGTAAGTGGTACAAAAGCCTGAAACTAAGTGCAAAATGCATACAAGGACTCTACTTGTGCTCACAAAGCTCCTAAATTTCTCTCTCTTATAGCTTTGGATTTAGTAAATGATATATACTATTCCCCAGAAGGTGTGCTTGTCTAAATTTGAGACTAGTGATTGGATAACTTTCTAAATAGCGAATATAAAACTGACTTGCCTGTGCCCTAGGAGAATGTCTGGTCAGCTCAGAGGTCAGCTGGTAATGTCTGGCAAATCAATTCATTCTCCTCAACCCGGAGTGGACTCCCCCATCCAGTACACACAACATAATTTAGCCCTGGGACATCAGAGTCCAAGCTGGGTTACGTCAAGCCATCACTGGACAGATATCTCATCTCACAGATGAATGCACACCCTATCTTTCTCTCATTTCTGTCTCTCTCCTGTGAATTCCCTTCCCAATTTTCCTCCCACTTTGTCTTTTTTTTTTCAGTTGTTCACTCTCACGCCCTTAGTTTAGCCCTGAACCCTACTTTCTTTTTCTCTTCATTTTAGTCTGTCTTTCCAACTGTGGTACTTTCTTTGGTCCTTTTGGTATTTACAACATCCTCCAGTCTCATTCACACGATTTCTCTACAAAAAAATCCACCCAGAACAGCATTAATCTGCATTCGGACCTCAGAGCTGAGCATCTCTCCAGAACATCTCCACATTTCTTTCCCCTCTATGCACCCAAAGAGTGGACAAAAACACATTTCCAACCACTGATTTGAAGAATATTAGCATGATGAGATCATTGCAAGCCTTTCCTAAACAAATACTAGAATTTACAACCTTCAAATTTTCAGTCTGGCATCATAAATTCTGCTGTCTTAGCCTTTTGAAAACATTTATGATGAATAAAAGTGTAACAAGTACTTTCTGAACTCATACCGAGGACTATAGAATACACAAGACATGTCACTTGTATACTTTTGAATGGGAATAGTGTAACAGTCAATATGGTGAATGAAGCCTCGCCTTTTGGTACAGGATCCAATCAGCGATCGCTATATGGCGAATAAAGCCTGCCTTCTAATACAGAGCCAATCAGCGATCGCTATAGAATGACAATTCTCCGGGGAAGGGGTTTAGACCTGACGTGAGTTTCTGCAGATTTTGTGTGATACGAACATTTAGAAATGAAACTAAATAGACAGCTGTTGTTTAATTTTATTGCTTATTTGTAATATGGAATTTCCCCATTCAAACAGAATGCCCGGCAATACTGCCCGAGAGGCATTTCAAAGATGGCCGCCCAGTGAAATGACTTGCCTTAAAGAAACTTTGCTCTTACTATGACCCTGTTTGCCTTTCTTGTCAATAGCAGCTTCAGCTTCAATAGCAGCAAAGCCCCCTGTGACTGCTTGATGAACTATTGTTTATTACAAACTAACATAAAGATAGACACTGATTTAGCAGGTTTTTTTTTCCAGGTGGAATGAAGAGTTTTAGAGTCTTTTATATTCATCCCCTTAAAGGCTGATTTATACTTCTGCATCGAGTGCACACGAACGGTCTGACTCAGCCTTTGCACAGCCGCGTAGCCCTTGCTGTTGCTGACACCGACGATGACATGCATCTCTCAAAAAATGTAACTACACCTCGCGACAACGCATAGAGCAAGCTCTGTGATTGGTTGACTTGGTATCGCTGATAAGTGTGGGCAGGGTTGAGAGATACATGCCTGTTAGAGCAAGTGTTAAACAAGCGTTGAGTCCCGTGGAGGAGCTCCAGATGGAGATTTTTTTTTTATGTTTACGTTATGATTAAAGTTGTTGCATATCTGCCAGTTCTCGCCTCTGGATGAGCGAGATTTAGCTACATGTACAGTAAGGTAGAATTAAGGGTACTTCGGGCTTAAACAAACCACCCGCAAAGAAACTTAACACAGAGGAACAAAAAACCCAGCTGCCAGCTAGTGTTTCGAAAGTGTTATTGCAGAGTAATACAAACAGAATGCATAAGTATAAATGCATAGCTTCGTTTAAGGCATGCATCGTGGGTCACGACGATCACTCAACCCAGAAGTTTAAATAAGCCTTATGCCTGCATTCCCGCCATTTCGTATAGTAACTTGCTCAAAGTAAAGGCTTGTTTGACAAATAGGTCAGTAACAAGAGAACTGGTTATATTAGTCAAACGACCTAAGGCTCCCATAGGACACAAACATAATTTATTGAACATGGATTTTAAGCAAATATCTTGGGTTCCAATCATTTTCCAGCCTGGTGTTATGCTGCGTTCACACCAGACGCGGAACACGTGTCAAGCGTGAGTGATTTACATGTTACGTCAATGCAAACGCGCGAAAAGACATACTGCGGCGCGATATACGCGAATGACGTGGCGCGAATGACGCAAATTGCACGAATGGCATGGTGCGAATTGAGCGTTTGACGCACTTAACGCGCGTTTCCCTCAAGTTTGAAAATCTGAAATTCAGCGGACATTCGCGCCGCGTTAACCAAACAGGAGCTTGCTCTTGTGGGGGAGTTATTGTGACATGTCGCCTGTAGTCGGTGTCCCAGGGGAAATCCTCCAGCCGACCCCAACAAGAAGTTCATCAAACTGGGCTGGGCTCAGTCAGAAGCACCGCTGAAAGCCTTCATCAGCCAGGTTAAGTTTCTGGAGGAGTTTATGAGCTTATAGAGCTGGATGCACCTCTGAAAGTGGACTTAGACACGACCCTAAACGTATCAACGCTGTTTTTCAGCCTTCATAAAGCACATAAACACAGTTATTTTCTTCATAAAATCCCTGTTAGCCTTTTAGCTATGAAGCTAGAGTCACGGGGCAACAGAAGCCCTGCCCATCACGCGAATCCACGTCTGTTCTGAAGTGAATTTGACACGCGAATGAAGTGAATTAGACACGCGAATGAATCGAGTAACCTCAAGTGTTTATGCGGCTATTCACGCGGGAACAGCACGATTTATCCGCACATTCCGCATCTGGTGTGAATGCAGCAAAAGGCTGCAAATCCAAGTGCATATGTAGAATTAACTGCTTTTGTATGAGGACTGTATACATATGATTAACAATTAGTTAACACACTGGACATGCTTCCAACCACATGCACTCAAAAATTATTTTTGCCTTTTCTTTAAACCACTTAGTTAAAATGAGCTAAATCAGCACAATTCTTGAGTTTTTTGGGACAACTTAATTGTTTTATGTTCAATCCATTTACATTTGCATAAAACAATTAGGTTAAGTGAATCAATTTGTGTTGGGGAAACATGAAGGAGTTGTGTGGAACCCCGCGTTTTTTCAGTGTTTTCTCTATAAGGTCTCTGGGCTGCTCTCAGGCCAAAGGCAGGAAAACACACTGAATGGATGAATTGTACTAGCATGACTGTGCAAGACAGTAAATTCCTTATAATCTTCATTCAGTGATTTAATAATGCACAATATACAACAGAAATAGTGACCACAACTGTCAAAGATTCACATTTTGTGGAGGTTTACTCAAATGTTCAACCTTATGGGGTAATATTTTACTCATATACAGTCAAACACACACAAATTAACAAACAAGGCCCCAAACTCAACACCATACAAAACCGGACAGTACAATTCTAATGTTTAACAGAAGACAGGTACCTCCCTCGCAAACACAGACACTGTATGTCAGATGCAATCAATAGGTTGCACAAGAACAAAAGACTCTTTAAAATGTGCACCTTCAAAGGCACAGTTATTTCTGTGACAGGGAAGCACCCAGGAAGCTGGAGGTGGAGGGAAGTGGCCTTCTTAAGAACTAGTAGGAGGAGTACTGTAATTACAAACTTTGGACAGCCACCCACGTTCTTTTCCTGTCCTACAACAGAATCCAGCTAGACAGCTCTGGGCTGTACCAAGACATGGGGCAGATGAAAAAAAGGACAGAGACGTTACCACCCCACTCATCCAACTCATGTCTCACTCATTCACTTTAACAACCTAGTCCTAAATCATTATTAATTGGCTAATGCACACATCTCCAAATAGTAACATTCTATTTAAGCAAAAGCTACTTTGGTGTAAAGGTCAATGAAAGCTACCAACCATAGTGAATCTCAAGTTTAGGGCCCAAGAACACAGACCAGGAACTTTAATTTAGAAGGTCATTAAAAGTCAGTTGACTGTCATGCCAGTATGGTATTTCTATAAAGGATCAAAAGTCCGGTAAAGTATGTACTAATCAGTGTTGATCTCTGACACCAATGGAGAATAATTCTATGATACCCGTTATAAACTGCCAACATCGGTCCACTCATAAATATACCACCCTTGAATGCCTGGAATACACACAAACACCCAATAGGCATGTCATAACCAGCAGGATCCTGGCACATCCTATGTGTACACACTGGATATTGTGTGCCGCCACAGCGGATGCCATGGCCCTGCCACCCGATAATGGAAGCAAGAACGTTCATTCAGCTTCCAGTCAACTCAGAGGGAGGCGTCTGATGGTGCTGTTGTCATGGGGATAGCAAAAGGGAGAGACGACGAGTGAGAACAGCATGGCCTCATCCAAACCAGACGCTCTGTGG